GGGTCATCCATGAAAAAAGTCAGGACAAATACAGTGAGGAAAAACAAAAGAGAAAGAGATTTCAGAGCTAGAGCCATCCTTGAATGTAGCAGCTGGAAGGAGGTAGTCACTCATGTTGGAGAAAAGGAAGATCTTTAGAGGGGAGAAGGCACAAGTGAAAATTCTTTACCAATCACAATTTAGGAGCAAAGCTACAAGAACCTGAAAATGAGAAGTGTACCTGTGTCATGTGTTTTCCAAAAGGTGTGCCAGGAGGCCAGGAAGCAAGGACAGAAAGTAGCCAAGCATCTGACATGATGGGTAAGGCTGCCCAAGGGTCTGGGGATGGAGTGGCTCAGCAGATACCACACACACTGGGTACAGCTGTGGAAGGTGATCATGTTTCAAGAACACCAGGCAGCCTCTGGCTCGCCAGCAGCAAGTGTACCCACAGGCCCCAAGCGGCAGAATGTCAGAAGCCTGAAATCAGAGTCCCTGTTTCTTGCTGCACTTGACTGTGAGTGCACTGTGACAAGGAACAGGTTCTGTCCACACCAAATTCTTGTTCTCTGTATTTGTTTGACCTGACACTTTGGGGAACAGCATGGAGGCAGGAGATCATTATAAAGTCATGCTTAGCAAGATGGGCTTTCTTAGTTATACATAAATAATGTAATGGAAATATACTGGTAAAAATGGCAGCATTTCCTTTACTATATCAGCATATCAATATCAAAGCATTGAATTTATATGATGACTTCCACACTTGTCTGTGGAACAAAGAGAGACATGTTCTGCTGGTAGATAATAATGTCACTTTGTCACAACCTTGGAAAGGCCTAAAAAGGCAAATGGTTTTGCTACCTGTCAGAAAAAAGACCTCAAGTAACTATTTTTAAATTAAAAATGTATACTTTTGAAGGATGTCCTCCAGCATGGTGTTGATTTATGTACTGACTTCCTATTAGCTTTTGCAAATAAGATCTTATTTAATCTTCATGAAAAGTTTGGAACCTGAAGGATCACTGTTGCTAGCCCTATTTTGTAAATGAGGAAATTGATACACATAAGTAACTAAGAGCTTCTCTAAAGTCTCAGAGAATTAAAGGAAGACCTTAGATATTAATTCAGTACCTGTATGTTTCCTTCAGAAGGAAGATAGAGAAATGATACTCAGATCATCATTATAAACTCAAGCCTTTTGTGCAGCATGAATAGTCATAAGATTTGTAACTTTTATTTATAAATTACAGTTTTCTGACCACCACCTGTCATTTTTCAGATACCATGGATGTTGGAAACAATCCTACTTTGGGAAAACACAGTAAGAAAAGAAGTAAGAGTAAGTAAGAATTTACTTGATTTTTATTTTACAAGTGAACTATTTTTTTTTAATGCTAAGGCTTATTATTATTTTCTGTACCTTTCATAAGACAAAAAATGAATACCTTTTAATGTAACGATTTTTTTCAAAATGCTTATATCTTCATGTTACTTTTTACGGTGATTTTAAAATATGTTTCTTATAAACATTGGTGTATATCCTTCCAGAATTTTTCTATGCATGTATTGACACGTTTTGGATTATAGTTTTATTTATTTAAATAAGTTAATTCTACACATACCTTTCCTTTTCTTGCTTTTTAACTAATATATGTATGGATTGAGGGGACTTTCCTTTCATCTCTTTCTGTAATTCCTTTTTGAAGTTGTAATGACTTATGTTTTTAAAATCTGGCTTCTAGGCCAGCCCGGTGGCACACTGCTACAGTGCGCCGCTTGGGAGTGCAGCGGCATTCCCGCCAAGGGTTCGGATCCCACATACAGACCGGCTGCTCACTGGCTGAGCGAGGTGCGCAACACCGAGGGTTGCAATCCCGTTGCCGGTCC